CAACTCTAGCACGATTCACGTCGATTTCTACAAAGCATTGTTTTAAAAAGCAATTGAAAAAACAAGTGCTGTAAAAAAAAAAATCAATTAAAGGACTTCGTAAATTATGAAAAAATTTTTTTTGTTTTTTTCGAAAAATATGCCATTGACACAGAAAATCCCATCCTACCTGTACAACCATATCATCTTCTTTGGAACTCAAAGTGACCATTGGAACGCATCGTTCAAATGCCAATTGCAGCGCCTAAAAAAAAAATTTTGTTTGATCAAATCCAATATCGCATATTTTTGACCGATTTTTGTGATAAGGAAGTAATTTTTGGCTCAAACTAGGGCCAATTAGGTTTCAGGTCTGTGATAAGCACCTGCATCTACAGCATTCTGTAGCGATCTCAATCCAATCAAGCATTATGGCACAACTTTTATGACCACTTAATCCACGATTACGCAGGAGGAGTGACTATAAATCGAATGCTAATGTCACTGTAATTACCTAAAGTGTCGCTCGGAGGCTTTAGGTTGCAGATCTGTGATCACTCTGAGGTTTTCGGCTACAGATTCGTGGTCACTCTGAGGTGTTAGGCTGCAGATCTATGGTCACTCTGGAATTTTAGGCTGTAGATCTATGGTCATCCTGAGGCTTTAGGTTGCCGATCACTCCCAGACAACCGTAGATAGTACATGGATTAATAAAACCAGCACTGGAAACTAAGCAACTAGGTTTTTTTTAGTTTGAAACGCTGATCTATTTTCACAAGAAAAGTGAGGCAGGATATGGTATTTGGGTTTGGGCACTGAAACATGAGAAAGCTGTCACAGTACGTCACGAAAGTGATGAAACTTAAAGAAGTTAAAATATATTCATCGCAACTATTTCTAAAAAAAAAACAGCGATTGCTTTCAGTTATCACCACAAAGAATCTAATTTATCACAACTTCCATTAACCTAGGTATAAATAATATGGCCAAAAATTATAACCCTTCCGTATTCGCTTTTTATGAGAGGCAGAGGTACTCGAAAAGCAACTCGTGGATAGTACGTGGTAACAAAAACCATCCACAGACGAGTCCGTCGGTGGCTTCCCCTTTCGAGAGTTACTTAGAAGCAAGCTGATAGTGAGCCTGTCTTCCCATCGCATATGTCAGCGCCAGTTTACCATCGAAACGAATTATGAATAAATAGCACAGATAGCTAGTTTTCACTGGCCGAGCCGAATTCTAGTTCTACTGCACAAAGCATTTCCTCAGAATTGACATATAATGCTTTTCTGTATCTTCAGTTAACTTCCTCTTTTTACACACCTCTCTCATTCTGTTTGTTCTTTCTCTTTTTTCTTCTTTCGCATATCCGTCTTGCAAATTAGTTACATGACTGTTCCAGTAAATGGTGGTAGGAGGCTGTACTGGTGATTCTCGCTCCTACCCGAACGCATAGTTCGACCTATGTTTACAGCTAAAGGATGAAACACAGACTGCATTGTAAAATGTCTTCTTACACATAACACTTAAGTCCAATCCTTCTATCCTTCTACTTT